TACCTGGATGCACTGTGAACCATGCCAGAAGAGTACCTGTTTCCTGTCCTACCACCCACTCTAACCACAGATGACCCTCTGCTCACGCAGCTAGCAGGGGAACACCCCAGCATGGCATGGCTGGGGCAGCTACCTGGATGCACTGTGAACCATGCCAGAAGAGTACCTGTTTCCTGTCCTACCACCCACTCTAACCACAGATGACCCTCTGCTCACGCAGCTAGCAGGGGAACACCCCAGCATGGCATGGCTGGGGCAGCTACCTGGATGCACTGTGAACCATGCCAGAAGAGTACCTGTTTCCTGTCCTACCACCCACTCTAACCACAGATGACCCTCTGCTCACGCAGCTAGCAGGGGAACACCCCAGCATGGCATGGCTGGGGCAGCTACCTGGATGCACTGTGAACCATGCCAGAAGAGTACCTGTTTCCTGTCCTACCACCCACTCTAACCACAGATGACCCTCTGCTCACGCAGCTAGCAGGGGAACACCCCAGCATGGCATGGCTGGGGCAGCTACCTGGATGCACTGTGAACCATGCCAGAAGAGTACCTGTTTCCTGTCCTACCACCCACTCTAACCACAGATGACCCTCTGCTCACGCAGCTAGCAGGGGAACACCCCAGCATGGCATGGCTGGGGCAGCTACCTGGATGCACTGTGAACCATGCCAGAAGAGTACCTGTTTCCTGTCCTACCACCCACTCTAACCACAGATGACCCTCTGCTCACGCAGCTAGCAGGGGAACACCCCAGCATGGCATGGCTGGGGCAGCTACCTGGATGCACTGTGAACCATGCCAGAAGAGTACCTGTTTCCTGTCCTACCACCCACTCTAACCACAGATGACCCTCTGCTCACGCAGCTAGCAGGGGAACACCCCAGCATGGCATGGCTGGGGCAGCTACCTGGATGCACTGTGAACCATGCCAGAAGAGTACCTGTTTCCTGTCCTACCACCCACTCTAACCACAGATGACCCTCTGCTCACGCAGCTAGCAGGGGAACACCCCAGCATGGCATGGCTGGGGCAGCTACCTGGATGCACTGTGAACCATGCCAGAAGAGTACCTGTTTCCTGTCCTACCACCCACTCTAACCACAGATGACCCTCTGCTCACGCAGCTAGCAGGGGAACACCCCAGCATGGCATGGCTGGGGCAGCTACCTGGATGCACTGTGAACCATGCCAGAAGAGTACCTGTTTCCTGTCCTACCACCCACTCTAACCACAGATGACCCTCTGCTCACGCAGCTAGCAGGGGAACACCCCAGCATGGCATGGCTGGGGCAGCTACCTGGATGCACTGTGAACCATGCCAGAAGAGTACCTGTTTCCTGTCCTACCACCCACTCTAACCACAGATGACCCTCTGCTCACGCAGCTAGCAGGGGAACACCCCAGCATGGCATGGCTGGGGCAGCTACCTGGATGCACTGTGAACCATGCCAGAAGAGTACCTGTTTCCTGTCCTACCACCCACTCTAACCACAGATGACCCTCTGCTCACGCAGCTAGCAGGGGAACACCCCAGCATGGCATGGCTGGGGCAGCTACCTGGATGCACTGTGAACCATGCCAGAAGAGTACCTGTTTCCTGTCCTACCACCCACTCTAACCACAGATGACCCTCTGCTCACGCAGCTAGCAGGGGAACACCCCAGCATGGCATGGCTGGGGCAGCTACCTGGATGCACTGTGAACCATGCCAGAAGAGTACCTGTTTCCTGTCCTACCACCCACTCTAACCACAGATGACCCTCTGCTCACGCAGCTAGCAGGGGAACACCCCAGCATGGCATGGCTGGGGCAGCTACCTGGATGCACTGTGAACCATGCCAGAAGAGTACCTGTTTCCTGTCCTACCACCCACTCTAACCACAGATGACCCTCTGCTCACGCAGCTAGCAGGGGAACACCCCAGCATGGCATGGCTGGGGCAGCTACCTGGATGCACTGTGAACCATGCCAGAAGAGTACCTGTTTCCTGTCCTACCACCCACTCTAACCACAGATGACCCTCTGCTCACGCAGCTAGCAGGGGAACACCCCAGCATGGCATGGCTGGGGCAGCTACCTGGATGCACTGTGAACCATGCCAGAAGAGTACCTGTTTCCTGTCCTACCACCCACTCTAACCACAGATGACCCTCTGCTCACGCAGCTAGCAGGGGAACACCCCAGCATGGCATGGCTGGGGCAGCTACCTGGATGCACTGTGAACCATGCCAGAAGAGTACCTGTTTCCTGTCCTACCACCCACTCTAACCACAGATGACCCTCTGCTCACGCAGCTAGCAGGGGAACACCCCAGCATGGCATGGCTGGGGCAGCTACCTGGATGCACTGTGAACCATGCCAGAAGAGTACCTGTTTCCTGTCCTACCACCCACTCTAACCACAGATGACCCTCTGCTCACGCAGCTAGCAGGGGAACACCCCAGCATGGCATGGCTGGGGCAGCTACCTGGATGCACTGTGAACCATGCCAGAAGAGTACCTGTTTCCTGTCCTACCACCCACTCTAACCACAGATGACCCTCTGCTCACGCAGCTAGCAGGGGAACACCCCAGCATGGCATGGCTGGGGCAGCTACCTGGATGCACTGTGAACCATGCCAGAAGAGTACCTGTTTCCTGTCCTACCACCCACTCTAACCACAGATGACCCTCTGCTCACGCAGCTAGCAGGGGAACACCCCAGCATGGCATGGCTGGGGCAGCTACCTGGATGCACTGTGAACCATGCCAGAAGAGTACCTGTTTCCTGTCCTACCACCCACTCTAACCACAGATGACCCTCTGCTCACGCAGCTAGCAGGGGAACACCCCAGCATGGCATGGCTGGGGCAGCTACCTGGATGCACTGTGAACCATGCCAGAAGAGTACCTGTTTCCTGTCCTACCACCCACTCTAACCACAGATGACCCTCTGCTCACGCAGCTAGCAGGGGAACACCCCAGCATGGCATGGCTGGGGCAGCTACCTGGATGCACTGTGAACCATGCCAGAAGAGTACCTGTTTCCTGTCCTACCACCCACTCTAACCACAGATGACCCTCTGCTCACGCAGCTAGCAGGGGAACACCCCAGCATGGCATGGCTGGGGCAGCTACCTGGATGCACTGTGAACCATGCCAGAAGAGTACCTGTTTCCTGTCCTACCACCCACTCTAACCACAGATGACCCTCTGCTCACGCAGCTAGCAGGGGAACACCCCAGCATGGCATGGCTGGGGCAGCTACCTGGATGCACTGTGAACCATGCCAGAAGAGTACCTGTTTCCTGTCCTACCACCCACTCTAACCACAGATGACCCTCTGCTCACGCAGCTAGCAGGGGAACACCCCAGCATGGCATGGCTGGGGCAGCTACCTGGATGCACTGTGAACCATGCCAGAAGAGTACCTGTTTCCTGTCCTACCACCCACTCTAACCACAGATGACCCTCTGCTCACGCAGCTAGCAGGGGAACACCCCAGCATGGCATGGCTGGGGCAGCTACCTGGATGCACTGTGAACCATGCCAGAAGAGTACCTGTTTCCTGTCCTACCACCCACTCTAACCACAGATGACCCTCTGCTCACGCAGCTAGCAGGGGAACACCCCAGCATGGCATGGCTGGGGCAGCTACCTGGATGCACTGTGAACCATGCCAGAAGAGTACCTGTTTCCTGTCCTACCACCCACTCTAACCACAGATGACCCTCTGCTCACGCAGCTAGCAGGGGAACACCCCAGCATGGCATGGCTGGGGCAGCTACCTGGATGCACTGTGAACCATGCCAGAAGAGTACCTGTTTCCTGTCCTACCACCCACTCTAACCACAGATGACCCTCTGCTCACGCAGCTAGCAGGGGAACACCCCAGCATGGCATGGCTGGGGCAGCTACCTGGATGCACTGTGAACCATGCCAGAAGAGTACCTGTTTCCTGTCCTACCACCCACTCTAACCACAGATGACCCTCTGCTCACGCGGCTAGCAGGGGAACACCCCAGCATGGCATGGCTGGGGCAGCTACCTGGATGCACTGTGAACCATGCCAGAAGAGTACCTGTTTCCTGTCCTACCACCCACTCTAACCACAGATGACCCTCTGCTCACGCAGCTAGCAGGGGAACACCCCAGCATGGCATGGCTGGGGCAGCTACCTGGATGCACAGTGGTTGTGGACGGTCAGGATCGCGCCTGGATTGTTTGAAGGATGATGATGTAAAAGAGATGCTTCCTGCTGTTTTTCCTTCCACTCCCCTCTCTCCAGTGGTTGTGGACGGTCAGGATCGCGCCTGGATTGTTTGAAGGATGTAAAGAGATGCTTCCTGCTGTTTTTCCTTCCACTCCCTCTCTCCAGTGGTTGTGGACGGTCAGGATCGCGCCTGGATCAACGACAGCAAGGCCACCAAACGTGGCAGGCATCAACGGCTGGGATCGAAGGGCTGGGAGACGAATCTACGGCTGTTATTCTGCTGGGAGGAATAGCTAAGGTGCAATCAACGGTGGGGGGGGGAAAGGGAAAATGGCTATGGTTTGGCATGGTAGCCTGTTCATTCATCTCATTTCCGGTTGATACATGAAAAGTGCGTCACTTGGAGTGGTTCAGAAAGTTTAGGTGGTTTGCTGGTTGGGATTGGTGGTGCTTGCCTGTCTGCCTGCTCTTCTTCCTGCAATCCTGCCCACCTGCCGAACGAATAGCATATCTGCATTCGTTCATGATGATGGTAGGAACTTGTGGGCCTCTTTCGTTCTAAGCACTTCTTGTTGGTGATGGTGATGGTGGTGGTGTGCTCGTCTTATGCGTTGTTTTGGTCTCAGGACTTGCCTTTGCCACTGTCATCATCTGCTCTGCTCTCAGGTCCTGAAGTCTCTCGCAGAAGCAGACATAGGAGGAGCATCTGACGGCTCTCCTCTGCGCTTCTTTTGAGTTGACTCATAAGTCACTTTGGTCTCAGGCCTTGTTTCGCTGCTGTCATCATCTGCTCTGCTCTCAGGTCCTGAAGTCCCTCACAGAAGCAGACACAGGAGGAGCAACTGTCGCCGCCTCCCCTCTGGGCTTCTCCAAGCTCGTCCCCGTGCTCAACCGCCATCGCGCTGTCATCACTGTGAGTGTGTCATGTTTGTGACTATAATGAGTGTGGCTTTGAGCCTTGTCAGGGCTGCTTCTTTGCAGGGAAGGGAAGCTCCTTCCCCTCTGTGCTTCTCCAAGCCAAGCTTGTCCCGGTGCTCAACCCCCATCGAGCCGGAATCACCGTGAGTGTGTGGTTTTGTTTTTGAGTCGACTCAAAAACTGAGTCGGTTTTTGAGTCGACTCAAAAACAAACTGAGTCGGTTTTTGAGTCGACTCAAAAACTGAGTCGACTCAAAAACGGTGCTCAACCCCCATCGAGCCGGAATCACCGTGAGTGTGTGGTTTTTGGATACTAGCAAGTGTAGCTGTAAGGCGCCGTAAGCTCGTTCCCATGCTCAACTGGCAACCAGGGCTGTCGATTAAAGGGCATTTGCCCTTAGTGCACTGAACATTCCGGGCAAACCCTTGACCAGCTAAGGCAAGTTAAAGGGCTGGTTTTTCGAGAGGAGCCCGTTTCCTGTACGGGCTGATTTTCAAAAATTGGGGTCTCAACCCGGATTCGTTCAGGGCTGGTTGGGGGCCCCTCCCTGATTTCCCGGATCAGGAGTACAAGTAGCCCCGCGAGTGGCACGAGTGTCAACTTCTCCCTTCCCGCTTCCATCCCCCTCGTAGATCCCACTCTCAATCTACTTAGGTTCAGAAAGGACTTCCGAGTGTAATGTTTTGGCTGTAGTTGCAAAGAAATTGCAAGGCAGCTCACTTGCTTCTCACACTTCTAAGTACTCACAGTGGACTTGCGAAACCGACACAACGTGGCGAGGAGGGACCCAGCCCCACCGGTTCACACTGGTAGCACTAGCACACTAGAAGGAGGGACCCGATGGTGTTTTTAACCTTCGAAGTTTTACCACGATTTTGTTGCAGACGTTTTGTTTTTGCTGATAATAGAGTTGCCCACGACCAATATACAGGTACAGTCGATTTCTATTTGTAGAGTCTGCGTGTGTGCAGATAATTCGTCACACTGCTCCTTCCTGCTGCTAAGTAATAGGTTCAGATAATGCTAAAGTACGCTTCTTAAGTAGCCCGGATTTCAAGTTTTGGTTCTGGCATGCGTCCGTTAGCGTTAAGGGCGGAAAAACGGTCACCCTCGTGAAAATCAGGGCCAGACTTCGAGCAGCTCAGGACCCCAAGTGTTGGCCCCAGGGACTTCGACAGGCCTGCTGGCAACGCTCTGTGATCACTGTGAGTGTGTGGTGCTGGGATCATAGCAAGTGAGTGTAATGTGAGGCATCTCAAGGCTGTTCCTTCCTCCCCTCTGGGCTTCTCCAAGCTCGTCCCCCGTGCTCAACCGCCATCGAGCAGGCATCACAGTCAGTGTGTGTGTGTGGTGCTTGTGACTATAATGAGTGTAGCTGCGAGGCAACTTAAGCATCCATCACCTCCCCCCGTGGCTTCTCCAAGCTTGTCCCCGTGTTCAACCGGCATCGCGCTGTCATCACTTTGAGTCATTATGGATTTGTTTGTGATTGTGTCCAGTGCAGCTCTGTGACATCTCTTGATGCGCCTCAAAAGTTTTGTTTGTGATCATAGTGAGTGCAGCTTCAGGACATCTTAAGGCTGCGCGTTCCCCCTCGTTGGCTTCTCCAAGCTCGTCCTCTGCTGAACTAAACCGCCATGGAGCCATGATCAGTTTGAGATTGGATCGTGTGATTGATTGGTGAACTGTGGATGTTATCATTTCAGTCTGTTTAACTCATCAATTCTATCGGTTTTCCTCTACCCCCATGCCGTCCTCCCTCCCTGCCATCCAGTTCGGCCAATCAGGCCCGTCCATTGCCAACGAACTCTCAGCAGCGGGTCTCTCGGTCTCTCTCATTCAGTGCACCACGATGGAGCAAGCCATGCGTGCTGCTGCCGAGAGAGCCCTTCCTGGTGAGTCCGAAGTCAACTAGCGTACAGACAGAGATCTCTCGGTCTCTCTCATTCAGTGCACCACGATGGAGCAGGCCATGCATGCTGCTGCCGAGAGAGCCCTTCCTGGTGAGTCCGAAGTCAACTAGCGTACAGACAGAGATCTCTCGGTCTCTCTCATTCAGTGCACCACGATGGAGCAGGCCATGCATGCTGCTGCCGAGAGAGCCCTTCCTGGTGAGTCCGAAGTCAACTAGCGTACAGACAGAGATCTCTCGGTCTCTCTCATTCAGTGCACCACGATGGAGCAGGCCATGCATGCTGCTGCCAAGGCTGCCCTACCTGGTGAGTGAAACCCCACAAGGGCCAGCTGATATCTCCGGCGCTTACCATTTTCTGGGTTTCACAGCGCAGTAGGATGTGTTCGCAGGTGTACACTCTGCTCCCGCTCAACTTTTTCCTGCCCCACACTATCAACGTTGTAATAATGCTGCTCTTTCCCTCCACTTTCTCGTACCCAACTCCCCGCTCTTGCAACCCCCTCCTCCCGCTCCCCGCTCCTTTCTAATTGCCACTTCATACTTTCTCCCACTTACCGTATGTGCTTTTTTCTTCCACCACCAGATGACACAATTCTTCTCAGCCCGGCATGTGCCAGCTTCGACGAGTTTGACAATTTTGAGCATCGAGGGCACGTGTTTGCTGACATTGCACGGAGAATCGCGAATGAATTAGTATGATAATTTCGATCAGTCGTTCGGTTGCGATATTTCATAATGGAAACAGCTGGATATAATTTCACAGAGATCTTTCATGCTAATGTAGAAAACGACGTCACTTCTTATTGAGTACTGTTGATACAGCGATTCAATTCGACCTTTTCGAGAGGTTGTACACGGCAGGATACATTTCAGAGACGTGTCTTCACGGTGCAAAACGGTTACAGTTCGAACATTGACAATCTGCAAACTCGAATATTCCACCTGTTCGCACATTCGCGTGACATTCCTCCTGACTAGCAGACCTCCGCTCGATTTCGCCGTTCATCGCACCTAATCGTTTTGCATAGCCTCCGTCGCGCCCGGCGCACTCATGCATTTCCTCATCGCACATCTCTAAAAATCCACTAATATTCGTTAGCAGGCGACCTTAGAAAACGATTGCTGCTCGATTCCCAATTTCACCCCGCTCGGTTCCTCCCCCCCGCGGACATCGTTCCGACCATGCCTGGCGACAACAACAGCGACAGCGCCGCCAGCGCCGTCAGAGGCGGCGGTGCAAGCAGCGGTCTATTTCAGCTGGTCGAGTCGACTGTTTCGGAGCAGAAGTTCTTTAATAGCCTTCCCTTCCCCCTCGTCCTGACGCCGCGCGTACTCCGAAATCCCGCGAGTTCCTCCGCACCCTGCGCGACCTCGCCCGCACCTTCCGCGCCCCTCCGCACCTTCCGCATCCCTCTCCTCCGATGCCGGGAGGGCGACACACACTCTGCTGCTTCCCCTTCATCCTCCCCTCGGCCCGTTCCCCTCGCCACGTCAGCATCCCCGTCATCCGACGTGGCAGCTCTGAAGGAATACTATGGAGAGCGATACGACGACGAGAGAGTTTCGGCTATGGGAACGATAGCACCACCCCAGCAGTGACTTCATTAGCGCCGTCATTGTCATTCGACGTCATAGGGTCGGTGCAGGGCCGCGTATAGTCTTGGTCGTTCATCGACCTGCCAAGTCAATGCACATCGTCGAGGGCCCTTGCTGTCGTAGGGCCCTCTAACAAGCTCCTCGCGTCAGTGACGCGGTCGCGTGGATTCGCGCAAACCGCGAATGGCTGCTGGACACGTGGCAGCTGCACGGCGCGGTGCTGCTGCGCGGCTTGCCTCTCGAGTCCCCTTGTGACTTTAACGAGGTTGTGGAGGCCTTCGGATTGGACGAGCTGCCTTACGTGGGCGGCGCGGCTCCAAGAACGAAGGTGATTGGTCGAATCTGTCCCTTTCTCCACTCCGCTAAACCTCCCCAGCTTTCTTCGCTGCCCGTTCCTTCCTCTCCCCCCCCCCCACTCCCCTCTCCCCCCCTCCTCCCCGTTCCTTCCCCCTCTCCCCCCCCCCCCACCCCCTCAATCAACCTCCCTTCGCCCCCCTCATCCCCCCCCCCCCCACCCCCCACCCTCCCCCACCCTCCCTTTTTTTTTTCCATTCGCCTTACACTTGCCCTTTCCCTCCCCCGTCTCTCCCCTTTCCCCGCACCTAACCTCACTTCAAGCTCTTACGACTGCACTTCGCCATCCCGCACCTCATTTCACACCTTCTCACCGCATTCCACGGTCCGCTCCAGACTTGTCCTTCGCTTTAACCTCCAGCTCGAGGATTCCCCTTCCCACCATGCGACCTCATTGCCTCCTCCTCCTTTTTGTCCCTCTCCACTCCACTCCACTCCTCTCCTCTCCCCACTTTTTTCACCCCTCTTCACCGCTCTCCACCCGTAGGTGGCTCCACGTGTGTTCACAGCAAACGAGTCGCCTCCAGATCAGAAGATTCCGTTTCACCACGAGATGGCGCAGGTGAGAGATGAGGAGGGATTGGGGGAGAGAGGTGTGGAGCACCTCTCGTTTGTGTCACAGCTGAGCGCCACGGGGCTGCTGTATGTGTGCTGTATGTGCGTCTCCTCTGCCGAGCCGTCTCCTCTGCCGAGCCGTCTCCTCTGCCGAGCCGTCTCCTCTGCCGAGCCGTCTCCTCTGCCGAGCCGTCTCCTCTGCCGAGCCGTCTCCTCTGCCGAGCCGTCTCCTCTGCCGAGCCGTCTCCTCTGCCGAGCCGTCTCCTCTGCCGAGCCGTCTCCTCTGCCAAGTCGTCTCCCTGCTTCATCTGAAGACACATTCACTTCCCCTACTCCCTTTCCCACTCTCACTCCCACTCCCTTTTGTCCTCTTCGCTCCCTATCAGGTATCCGAGTACCCAACCCGTCTCTTCTTCTTCTGCGAGGTGCCACCAGCAATGGGAGGCGAGACCCCCGTCCTGCCCTCCTGCGAGCTCAACCGCCGCCTGCCTCTGAAGCACCCCTGGTTTGAGGCACAGCTGAGCGGCAAGGGGCAGGCAGGGCACTGCTGTATAGTTGTGCTGCCTCTTCCTCTGCTGAGTCCCTGCCTCAGCTCAAGCCGCATTCCCTCCCCCCAATCCCTCTCCCTCTCTCTCTCCCACTCCCTCCCCCTCTCCCTCTCCCACTCCCACTCCTTTTTGTCCTCTCTGCTCCCTACCAGGTACCCGAGTACCCAACCCGCCTCTTCTTCTGCCAGATCCCTCCGGCAATCGGAGGCGAGACCCCCATCCTGCCCTCCTGCGAGCTGACTCGCTGCCTGGCTCTGAAGCACAGTCGTTCGTGGCGCAGCTGAGAGCCAAGGGGTTGCTGTATGTGCCACGCTCTACTGCTGCCATGCCGAGTAGTCCCCTCCTTACCTCGGCCCTTTCCTCCCCTTGCTCCCTACCAGATACCCGAGTACCCGACCCGTCTTTTCTTCTTCTGCCAAGTTCCACCAGCCTCAGGGGGCGAGACCCCCATCCTGCCCTCCTGCGAGCTGACTCGCCGCCTGGCCCACACGCAACACCCCCCTTCCAACTCCCACTCTTCCTCTTGCCCCCTCATCAGGTACTCGAGTACCCAACCCGCCTCTTCTTCTTCTGCGAGACGCCGCCAGCAACCGGAGGCGAGACCCCCATCCTGCCCTCCTGCGAGCTGACTCGCCGGCTGGCCCACACGCACCCCTCGTTTATAGCACAGCTGCGCGCCAAGGGGCTGCTGTATGTACGCGTGCTACCAGAGGAGGATGACCCGAGCAGTGCCATTGGGCGAGGGTGGAAGTCCACTTTCCTGACTCAAGACAAGATGGAAGCTGAAGAGAAGTGAGTGCTCAGTGCATGTAGCTAGTAAGGGTGGCTCACCCGCACCCCTCGTTTATATCACAGCTGCGGGCCAAGGGGCTGCTGTATGTGTGCGTGCTGCCAGGGGAGGACGACCCGAGCAGTGCCATTGGGCGCGGGTGGAAGTCCACTTTCCTGACTCAAGACAGCAAGGAGGAAAGGTGCGTTGCAATGGTGTTCACAAGGGAATGAGCGGGCAGGCACAGGTAGCACAGCACAGCTGAGCGCCAAGGGGTGCTGCGGTATGTGTGCATGCTGTGCTGCCAGAGGTGGACGACCTGAGCAGTGCCATTGGGTGGGGATGGAAATCGACTTGTCTCACTGACAGCAAGGAGGAAGCGGAGGAGAGGTGCGTTGCGAGAGGCGTGAAGGGGAGGAGGGTGAGCGCCACGGGGCTGCTCTGTGTGTGCGTGCGTGCGTGCTGGCAGAGAAAGGGACCTTTGAGCCAACTCGAAAGCCTCCTCTCTCTGTGCGCGTGTGCTGGCACGGGAAGTGACCTTTGAGTCGAGTTTTGAGTCGACTCAAAACTCGGTGCTGGCAGAGGAACATGAGTCGAGCAGACCCGATGGAACTGGGTGGAAGTCAGAAGCTCATTCTTCTGCCTGGCAAAGAGAGTGCAGCTGGAGTGGCAGGCGGGCGGCAGCGTTCGGACCGCTTGCAGCTGCCGCCCACCCTCACTCTCACCTGGCTTCACTCCCCCCCCCCCTTCTCCCCCTTCTCCCCCCCCCCTCCCCCCCCCCCTCCCCCCTCCCCTCTTCCCCTCTCCCCCCTCCCCTCTCCCCCATCTCCCCCCTGTCCCCCCTCTGCTCTTCATCCCTCGCTGCTGGACCCTGCTGGCTTGGATTTAGTGTGTCGAGATGGCCGAGTTGGTCTAAGGCGCTGGATTAAGGTTCCAGTCCGAAAGGGCGTGGGTTCAAATCCCACTCTCGACACTTTCTGCATGTTTGAATGATTTGTGTGCTGGGGTTAGACCCTGCTTGTTTTGAAGGTGGTTGTTGTTTGAATCTTTCACTTTTGTTTTCCTTTTTTTTCTTCCTTTTTTTGAAGTCATGTCGTTGCTTGGCGGTCCTAATCTTGTGCCCATGACTTTTGAGACGTCTCAAAAGTCATGTCGCTCGCTTGGCGGTCCTATTCTTGTGCCCATGTCCTCCACTCCTCTTCAGCATTTCACCGCATCTGTCATAAAGGTCATGGCACCGGCATACAAGAGCACATTCACACCAGTCACTCCCCTCGCCCCCTAACCTACCCCCGTTGCCCCTCCCGTACAAAGCTAGAAATGAAGCTGGAGTGGCAGGCAGACGACAGCGATCACCCACCAATGCTCCTATCTGCTGCTACTTCCGGCTCTTCAATTCAACTCACCCATTCGCACTCTCCCTCCGCCCTCTGCCACTTCCCCACTCCCCACCCTTCCCCACTCCCCACCCCACCACCCTTCCCGCTGCCTTGCAGGGCGGCAAAGCTAGGGGTGAAGCTGGAGTGGCAGGCGGACGGCAGCGTTCGGACTGTTTCCGGGCCTATCCCCGCGCTTAGGGTGGACACTAGGCCTCTACCGAACCTCTCCACCAAACATCGTGCTGCACAGGATGAGGTCCAGGATGAACAGGTTCGGACAGGAGAGGTTCGGGAAGAAGAGGTTCGGGAGGCATGGTTTAACAGCATGGTAGCAGCCTATACAGGGTGGAAGGACGTGCGTAACGACCCCACCAAGGCAGTTACGTTCGGCGACGGGGAGGCGCTACCAGGGGAGGCTGTACTGGCGGTGGAGGAGGAGATGGAACGGCTGGCAGTGGCTGTGCCATGGCGACGTGGCGACGTGCTATTGGTGGATAATCTAATTGTGCAGCACTCCAGGCGATCGTTTGAACCTCCCAGACAGATCTTGGCATCGCTTGCCAAGTAGTCTCCCTTCAGTTCTGCATGTACACAAGTTTCGCGGGGCCCTTACGGCTTGCGCTCACACACTTTGGAGACGGGAAGGCATTACCGGGGGAGGCTGTGTTGGCGGTGGAGGAGGAGATGAAGAGGCTGGCAGTGGCTGTTCCGTGGCGACGTGGCGACGTGCTATTGGTCGATAACCTCACTGTGCAGCATTTTAGGCGATCGTTTGAACCCCCTGGGCGGATTTTGACATTCCTTGCCAAGTGATTTCCATGTAGTCTTGCTTGTACATAAGTTCCACCTCAGTTTTGATCTGCGGTAAGAGAATTAGAACAAAAAACAGGATTTCCGTATTTTTGTCAGAGCTGTAGCTTTCTTTGTTTGTTTGTTTGTTTTCTTGCACGTTTCTTCTTCGTTAGCAGTTTATACTTCGCATGAATGAACAGCAATTATCAAACCGAGTCAGATCAATCGTGTGCATGCTGTTTGCAGCGCGAATATTACTTCCGCAAGTCTGATCATCACAGGCCCTCATGTTTCTGCAACTCGCGGTATTCTGAGAACTGAGTGAAAGGCTAGCAGCACACACCCTCACACTCTAGTGTTGACGCCTCAAACGTACCACGGTTTCCGAACTTTGCCGGTTACTTAAAACGGGGTTTATGTGTTTTTTTAGTGTGGTAACCCGAGTTTGAGAGGCACACTCACAGGCGGCGGGTGGTGAGCAAGAGATGGAGCCGATGTCGAGCGACATTCGTGACGGTGACCGTCAAGCTCGTGACGGTGACCGTCAAGCTCGTGACGGTGACCGTCAAGCTCGTGACGGTGACCGTCAAGCTCGTGACGGCGACAGTCAAGTTCGTGACGGCGACGATCACGTTCGCAATACAGGAGGGGAAGGGGAGGATAAGTGGAAAGTGGTAGATGCGAGTATGACGGAGGATGGAGGCGGAGGACCAAGAGAAGAAAGAGAAGGGAGAGGCGGAGGTAAAGGCGAAAGGGAAAGGGAAGGAGGAAAAAGAGAAGAAAGGGAAGAGGGAGGAGGAGAACGAGAAGGAAAAGTTGATGGAGGAGGAGGATTGGAAGCAAGGGAAAGGGGAGGAGGAGACGCAGAGGGTTCAAGGGGGCGAGAGGCGCGGCAGGAGGGGGAGCAAGGGAAGGAGGAGAGGGGAGCGGCAGACGATGAGAAAGGGAAAGAAGAAGAATGGGAAGGGGAGCAGAAGACGCAAAAGGTTTGCAGGGGCGAGAGATGCGGCAGGAGGGGGAGCAAGGGAAGGAGGAGAGGGGAGCGGCAGACGAAAAGGGGCTCAGGGAAGGAGGGGGAGCAGGAGAGGAGGAGGGAGGTGAGAAACAGAGCGAGGAAGAGGAAGATGAGAAGGAGAAAGAGGAGAAAGAGGGGGAAGAACAGGAGGAAGAAGAAGAGGAAAAAGAGGAGTATGTGTATTTGGACCTAAGCCAAGCAGTAAGGAGGTTGCCTCGAAATTGCCGACTCATTGTTGAGGTAAGCAGGGGAATCAGCGCTTAGAAGGGTTGAAGCAAGTTACAAAGGCAGCAAAGAGAGTCATTTAAGGGTGGCTTTTCTTTCATTGCAATCATTGAGGCGGTCACTTTTCAAAGGTTGAGAGGCAGGCAAACCATGGAGTGGCTTCAAGCGAGGGGGATATCAATCAAAGCTTGTCAAACCTGTGTGGAATTTTGAGTCGACTCAAAAATAAACCATGGAGTGGCTTCAACCGAGGGGGATATCAATCAAAGCTTTTCACAATCGACTCGTAGCTGCTGCTGTGGTCTTCTTAAGAATTCTCAAAATACAGATTCAGCCTAATATCACCCTCCCCAAGTTTTTAGTGTGTTGGCGTTTGCCAAAAGGTTAAGGGGGATATCAATTAAAGCTTGTCACAATCGACTCGTAGCTGCTGCTGTGGTCTTCTGGCGCTGGTATTCTGAAGACCAGCGTCAGAAGACCCGTGATACAGATTATCACCATGTGTGTGCATGAGTGTGTCTGTGCATGTGTGCTTGTACACACATGTGCATTCATGCGTGGTGTAGAAGTAAGGAAACTACTGTGTGCATTGACATGTATCCATTATATATTTGTAAGGTATAAATGCCTCCTTCAACCATTTCTTTTATGCCACGTGTCTTATCCAGAATTTGGAATCAGAGACGCCAACATTGCACCTGCCAGATGGCAGCACGCTGGTAAGCCACGTCATCATAGGCCAAGCCATCGTAAGCCACGTCGCTATAAAAAAACGAAACATCTTACAGCAATACATGGGAAACTCTCTTCAAATTTTGCTTCTCTTTCCCCTAGAAATGCTTTTTGAGCCACGCTGTGGCATTTCTGTGCGTTTCGGTCCTGGAAGATTCATTGCACCTGTGTTGTCCATGTATTTCCGTTTAATGTATTTCCGTTTAATGTATTCATGAGCCAGCCATGGCCCCCCTTTCCATGCTTCTCTCCATACTCCCTCTCTCCTCTCTCTCCTCTCTCCGTCACGACTCTTCTTTTTTCTCTGCATCTTGTTTGTCCATGTGAGCAATACCTTTGCATTTGATAAACCGCATTCAGCATGCCTTCCGTTTCATTTCTTTTCTCAGCCCTGGTTTGATTGCTTGAATGCTCTTGTTCATTCAGGTTGGTGACTATGAGGAGACTCTGGGTTCCTGCCTCTTCTTTCAAGAAAGTAAGTCCACAGAAAGGAAGTTTGTTGTTATTTCTCCTTGACATTTGCGACCTCGAGTGAGTGAGAATGAGCATGAAAAGCTGCAGCACACTATTTTAACTTACAATATCCATTGGCTATTTTGTGCTCCAACTCTTTTCCAAGAAACGTCTATTTCGCATCTCACTCCCTTACAACGAACCCTGCTGTTTCCTATTGCAGCTCTTGTGCCTGCTGCTACCACCGCAGCTCCCAGCAACACATCAGGCCCATCCTCGTTCCCTGCTGCTGCAGTTGGTGGTGCTGCAGCTGGTGGTGCTGCAGCTGGTGGTGCCTCAGCTGCTGGTGCAGTTGGTGTTGCTGCAGCTGGTGGTGCCCCAGCGCCAATAGGAGGCTCAGAAACGATAGGGAAGCATGATGCGGCGGTGGGAGGCGAGCAGAAGAGGAAGCGATGTGTCAAGTACATTGGAAAAACAGAACTCAGATTGACGTTCAGGAAACTCTCTTAATGCTGTTTTAGTTCGATTGCTAATAGATACGGTTACGGTATGCTCACTAAGTCTCTGACTACACATACTAATCGAACGTTAGAGTGCACGGATGTTTTACGAATCATCCGTTGACACTAAAGCGGGGAAGTTCAGGAGTGGACAGCACGTGTACTTCACCCACACGGTCGAGGACCAGATTTGCTAGTTTCAGGATTTGGTGTGCACGCTGATCAACTACGTGTAGTGCGGTTCAGTTGGCTTTACGGTGAGCAGCGATATCATCGTTTCACTGCTTTAAACCGCAATGCACCGAAAAGAATCGAGGTAACCGGGACTCCCCAAGTGAAGGCTGTGTTCTCGACTGAATTCAGAATTCCTCGATTTTGTCTTTCTTGGATTGGAAAACTAGGATTTTCCGACCATCAGTCAGCCATAAACAGAGTCAGCCATTCGGTGCCGTCATCTGTAAGGCTACAGCAGAACAGAGCCAAAACGGTTTGCTCCCAGATTTTTTATTCCGTCGTTCTTGCTTTCGTCGGCTGTCGTTCAATGAGAGCCTTCCCCGTTCCGTCCTGTGAACTCCACGGGTAATAGAACACTTCGAACATAGTCGAGCCGCTTTGTTGTGTCCTGCTTTTGCAAGAATTTGATCACATTGCAGGATCTCCGAGAGAAAATCATATTTCAGCTTTGCCTTGGCTAGCGGATCCGAATGTCAATTCTGAAATTCCTGACCGTTTCTCAGATTCCATCAGCCACTCTCGCAGTTCGCGGATCTTTCGCAGGCTCGCTCGACAAGTCGCCTTCCGGTTTCCATTCCCCGCCTCGACCGTACGCGCTAAGATCGACCTCGTCAAGCGACACAGCCACTCAGTTAGCATCGCGATTTCTCCCATCAGCAGTTAACTTCCAGATTCGCCCGCGATCAGCGGCGAATAGTCGGCGATCGGCAGTCGTCATGGCGGCTTCGGGTGCGTCGGACGGGAGCGAAATCTTCAAGCGAAGCATCAACCTCATGATCGTATCTGATCTTGACAACACCATGGTGATTCCTCCCCCTTCCCATGTTCCATGTCCGACAGGCTCTTTTTTATTTCCAGGTTTCAAAATCCTCATTTCTTGTTTGTTTGCCTCTCCGTGAGACTTCTCCATTAGCAACTCACCTCGATTTCTTTGCGCTCGATTTAGTCTTCATTTGAATCTGATTTCCCACACACGCGGCCTTCCGTCCGTCACTCCGTTCCTGATCGCACCTGATTCGCCCTGTTGTCTTCACCTGATCAGGTGGACCACAAGGACCCCAACCACGAGTCGCTGCGCGAATTCGCGTCTCTCTGGCAGTCCACGTTCGCGCGGGACTCGCTGCTCGTCTACTCCACTGGCCGCTCGCCCACCCTTTACAACCAACTCAAGAGCCAAGTGCCGCTCCTTACTCCTGGTACGTTTCTTGAGGGGATACAGGCGAGTTGCTCGCGTGAGGGTACACATGTGCGTTGCTTCAGGACATTCAGGGGCGTAGGCGTCTCTGGCAATCCACGTTCGCGCAGGACCACTAGGACCTCAACCACGAGCACTGCGCAAGGGGTACAGGTGAGTACAGAGGAGCATACGCCTGCTTACCTGCGTCTCTGTGGCATTCCACGCTCGCGGGGACTCACTGCTCGTCTACTCCACTGGCCGCTCACCCACTTTTTAGAATCAAGTGCCGCTCCTCACCTCACACCTGGTACGCGGGCTGATACTGCCGCTGCTCAGGGTGACTAAGACATACTTGTAAACTCCACCTTCAATTCCCCCGTGGCTCCAGCTGGCACGGGGAGTTAGCCTAAGCTTCGTCTGCTTCTCTTACAGCTGTTCTCCACCCTTCTCTCCGTTCCCCACAACCCTCTTCATCGTCATGTCCCAGACATTGTGATCATGTCAGTGGGTACGGAGATCACCTATGGCGCGTCCATGCAGCCGGACAAGGGGTGGGAGGAGAATCTCGCCCTCTTCCCTTCTTCCTTCTCCTCCCCTCCCAACCCAACCCACCGCCTCTCTCCCCAACTCTCTCCTCTCCATCCCCCCATCCCCCCCTCCAGACATCGTCATCATGTCAATGGGAATGGAGATCACCTATGGCGCGTCCATGCAACTAGACAAGGGGTGGGAGAGAGTATCCGCGCTTTCCCTTTTCTTTTTCAACCCACTTCCAACCCTTCTCCTATCTCTCCGCCGTCCTCTCTTCCCCATTCTATCGCCAGACATCGTGATCATGTCAGTGGGTACGCAGATCACCTACGGCGCGTCCATGCAGCCGGACAAGCCCAGACGGCACCCCCTCTCCCCCCCCCACGCACCCTTTTCCCAACACCCCTCCACCATCCCTCGCCAGACATTGTCATCATGTCAGGAGGCACGGAAATCACCTATGGCGCGTCCACATCTCTCGATGTCTTCTCCCCCAATCTCCTGATTTGTCCTCTTCTTCTCATTCCCCTCATCCCATTCCCTTGCCAGACATCGTCATCATGTCATTGGGTACGGAGATCACCTATGGCGCGTCCACCACTTTCAATGTTACTCCTCCACTCTTCTCCCCGCTCTTTACCTCACGTTCCCTTCCCCATTCTATCGCCAGACATCGTCATCATGTCAGTGGGCACGGAGATCACCTACGGGGCGTCCGTGCAACCAGACAAGGGGTGGGAGAGAGTATCCAGACCTTCCCTTTTCTTTCAATCAACCCACTTCCAACCCTTCTCCTATCTCCCATCCTTCTTTTCGCCGTCCTCTCCTCCCCATTCCCTCGCCAGACATTGTGATCATGTCAGTGGGCACGGAGATCACCTACGGCGCGTCCATGCAGCTGGACAAGCCCAGATGGCACCCCTTCCCCCCCCCCACGCACCCTTTCCCCCACACCCCTTTCCCTTTTCCCCTCCAGACATTGTGATCATGTCAGTGGGTACGGAGATCACCTATGGCGCGTCCATGCAGCCGGACCAAGGGTGGGAGGAGTACCTGAACGATGGGTGGGACAGAGAGGCTGTGGTGGATGTCGCTAAGGGCTTTCCCCAGCTGCGCTTCCAGGTGAGCCTGCGTTGGTGGTTGAGAGTTGGTGAGTGAGAGGGTTCACTGCAGCCGGGCAAGGGGTGGGAGGAGCATCTGGACGATGGGTGGGACAGGGAGGCCGTGGTGGACGTGGCTAAGGGCTTCCCACAGCTGCGATTCCAGGTGGGTCGTTGGACTTCTGTGGCACCTCAAGAGGGCTGGTGGTTGAGGGGGGTGCATGCTGCCGGACAAGAGGAGGGAGAAGCACCTGGAAGATGGATGGGACAGGAAGTTGGACTTCCACAACCCACGTGGCTAAGGGCTTCCCACAGCTGCGATTCCAGGTGGGTCGTTGGACTTCTGTGGCACCTCAAGAGGGTCGGTGACTAGGGAGCGTCCATGCAGCCGGACAAGGGGTGGGAGGAGTATCTGGGCGATGGGTGGGACAGACAGGCTGTGGTTGACGTGGCTAAGAGCTTTCCACAGCTTCGGTTCCAGGTGGGTGTTTTTCCTTTCAACGCCTCAAGAGTAACAATTCCCACAGCTTCGATTTCAAGTGGGTTTCTTCCTCAGGCGTCTCAAGAGTATGTGGACGATGGGTGGGACAGTGATGCTGTGTGGCCTGATGCGGAGGACTACCCGCAACTGAGTGTTTATTTGGGCTTCCTTCTTGTGTTTATTTGTTTCCAGCTGAGTCAACAGAAATAAGTTCCGCTTCGAGGTGCCTCAGTCATATTTTCTTCCCCCCGTTTCTCATTTCTCCCTCCCACCCTCGCCCCCAACTGCCACAGGTGGACTCAGAGCAGCGGCCGCAGAAGGTCAGCTTTGATGATGTTGTCGGGCTTTAACTAGTTTTTCTCCCCTGCTTCTTTCTTCCGTCCCCCAACTGCCACAGGTGGACTCAGAGCAGCGGCCGCACAAGGTCAGCTTCCACCTGGAGAAGGAAAAAGCTGGCAATGTAGTGGAGGAGCTTCGGAGCAAGCTGGCGCAGCGAGGGGTACGTGACTATATGGAACTGTTTGAGTCTGTGATTGTATTAAGGTTTGTGGTTTCAAGGCGCACAAGGTCAGCTTCCACCTGGAGAAGGAGAAAGCTGGCAATGTAGTGGAGGAGCTGAGGAACAAGCTGCAGCAGCGAGGGGTACGTGACTGTAGGGGAATGTGATTGTATTGATTTCACTGGTGTGTTACTTCAGCACAAATCAAGGTGAGCTTCCACCCGGAGAAGGACAAGGCAGGCGACGAGGAGCTGCAGGGCAAGCTGGCACAGCGAGGGAGGGGTGCGTGGTTGTGGCTGTAGCAAAATGTGATTGTTACTAGTTGATGTGTGTGTGAATGAATCTACGCCGCTCAAGTCAAGGTGAGCTTTCACCTGGAGAAGGACAAGGCAGGCAACGTGGTGGAGAAGCAAGCTGATGCAGCTTGCTCCAGCCACGTGGCATGCTTGTGAAGAGGGGTATGTGACTCTAGGGAAATGTGTGTGCGTGGCATGTGTGTGCGTGAGACCTTCCTCTTCCCGTTCTCTTCCCAACCTCTTCATTCCTACCCTCTTAACCCTCTCCCTCCCCCTTCCCTCCTTCTCTCACCCTCTTTCCCCACGGCAGTCCAAGGCAAAGGCGATATACAGTGGGGGGTATGACTTGGACATTCTGCCAACACCTCATCACTCCCTCTATTTCATGTACTTCTCCCCACCACCCGCGATTCCCGTTCCCGTATCCCCCACAACCGTGCAGCTGAAGGCGAAGGTGATATACAGTGGGGGGTACGATTTGGACATTCTGCCCGAGAGGGCGGGCAAGGGGCAGGCCATGGCGTACCTGCTGCAGCAGTTCAGGGAGCAGAGCGGCAGCGCTCCCAAGCACACGCTGGCGTGTGGTGACTCGGGCAACGATGCAGAGCTGTTTGAAGTGGATGGAGCATATGGCGTGATTGTAAGTGGATGGGCGGTTGTTGTAAGGGGTGGTGGCTGTGTGACATTGAGTGTATGTGTATGACGTCTCTGCTACAGCCTCCTCCTCACTGCTGTGGCAGTTCAGGGAACAGAGCGGGGGCCCTCCCAAGCACGCGCTGGCCGTGGTGATTCAGGCAATTATGCAGAGCCGTTTGAAGTGGATGGGGAGCATGGCGTGATTGTAAGTGGATGGGTATGGGCGTGTGTTGTTGTATTGAGGGTTGTTATGAGGGATTGGTGGGCGGAGGGCTGGCATAGGGGGTATCACTCCACGGCACAGCGCAACACCGCACCCCACGGCACCCCACAGCACCCCACAGCACCCTGCAGAACATGTTTTTCATGTTTCCCCCTTACCCTGGCAGGTATCCAACGCTATGGAGGAGCTAGTGGAGTGGCACAGGGCGCACCACAGCACAGCAGAGCACCGCACAGCACCACACACCACCAGAGCGGAGACCCAAGGTTTTTTATCTCTTATCTTTTTCTCTCACAGGTATCCAACGCAATGGAGGAGCTGGTGGAGTGGCACAGGGCGCATCACAATACGGACCACGTGTTCCAAGCCACCAAGCGGTGTGCGGGAGGGATCATCGAGGCGATCAATCACTTCAAGTTCGGCCCGCAGTAGTACCAGTGAGTTCTTCTCCCTTGCGCCCTCCTTTTTATGAGTTTGCCAAATAGTGGTGCACATGGCACAGGGCGCACCACAGCACAGACCATGTGTTCCGCGCCACCAAGCGGTGTGCAAGAGGGACCATTGAAGTCCCTCATCCCTGTTAGTGAGTGAGCCATTAACCAGTAAGTCTTTCATCCGTGCTTGCCAGCTCGCACCACAGTGGTGGGTGCATGTCTGCATTGCTGCGTGTCTTAAGTGTCCACGCTCTTTTTTTCTTTCTCGCACACACTCCCTCTTTTTGCAGTGCAGTATGTACAATACCTACAATAACCTAGAGACTGTGTGTGTGGTTCCCCCATGTTGCCTTGTTCTGATTGTCGTGTAGCGTGTACTGGCTGTAGGCATGGCAAGGAGCGCATGGATGGAGTCAGTGGTGGTATTGTGACCACTGTACAGTTTCATATAATAAGTTTGCCTTGCAATTTTACAACTGGAACGGTTAAGACGCTATGGCACTAGCATTCAACCAGTTATTGATAAATTCCAGGATGAATACATGACTCACTCAATATGCAGTCTACGTGCACTTATGGTGTACAGAAGTCATTCTGAGTATGCAAACAACACTTCGAACCAGCTTTACTGTTGAGCAGGGAGGAGCAGTAAATGGAAAGGAAAGAGAGTGTGGCTGGATCAATTTGCAAGGCAAGGCAGACAGCATACTAAATGCAAAGCAGCAACAAGTAGCAATGAAATAGTACTTTTCAGGCGCCTCAATAGGCTGGATTAATTGGTAAAGCAAGGTGGCTGCATAAATGAATAGTAGAACAAATAGCAGAAGAAATATTATTGTGGATTAGATGTTTCACACACATGCCCCTTCAATAAACATCTCCATTGTTACTGCAAGCCCATGCAAGTAAACGGGAGAGGGAACAAATGGGGATGTGAGCGCACGTGGTCAATTAGCGATACAACACTCACGCTTGTGGTCAATCAGCATAGGACACTCATGCATGTGGCCAATCAGCACAGGACACTCACGCATGTGAGTGCCCTTGTTCAGTCACAATCACAATCACCCATGTTTACTTTTGATAGCAGACTGACCCCATGACGTTTGTTGAGTTGTCACACATGTGGAAGCAGAGTCACAATCAGCATATGCAATCACACCCAACCACGGCCACATCCGACTATACAGTCACACTCATCTATACAGTGATACCTGTCCACACAGTCACACCCATCTGTACAGTAACACCCATCTATACAGTCACACTCACACACATCTACAATCAAACCCGTCTATACAGTCACACTCATCTACAGTCACACACCCATCCAAAAATTGTACCTTGGCAGCAGCCTGATGAGTGTGCGAGTGTGAATCTGCCAGGAAAGCCGTCAGACCCTCCAGTCACACCCATCTCTATAGTCACACCCATATGTACAATCACACCCATTTGCAATCACACCCATCTGCAATACAGTACCTCGGCAGCAGCCTGATGTGTGTGCGAGTGTGCATCCGCCAAGGAAGCTGTCAAATTCTCCAGTCGAGCCAGTCGAGCCTCCACTGCAGCATTGTATCCCTCCGCCTGGGATGTACGAGTGGCATCAGTGGGCACATGATGTGAGGGGAGGAGAAAGAGAGAGATGACAATGAAAAGCCGTTGGATTCTCCTTCCCAGTCGGACCCAGCGAGCCTCCACTGCAGCATTGTATCCCTCCGCCTAGGATGTATAAAAGGCATCAGTGGGCACGTCACACGTGAGGGGAGTGGAGGGTAGAGTGACGAACGACAAACGACAATGACAAGCCATCAGCTCTTCAAATCGAACCAAACGAGTCTCCAATGGAGCGTTGTATTTTGTACCCCTCCGCCTTCCATTGTGTGCCAGGGGGCACGTGACGGGAGGGGAAGGGAGGGGAGAGAGACAGCTGGCAGGGGGTTCTCCGGCCAGGTTAGACGAGCCTCGAATGCAGCAGCATGTATCATTCTTTCGAACTCTCAGAAGGGACACACGCAGCGGTGGGGATCCTGTTGGGCGCAGCGTTTTGTGCAGGCAGGACGTTGTTCGTTCTGCGCCGTGAACGTCACTGGAGGAACATTGACGTCAGTGAGTGAACAGTGACGTCAGTGAGGGAACAGTGACGTCAGGAAGGAGCATTGACATTTGGAAGGAACTGTGACGCCACTGAATGAATCGTGACGTCAGCGAATGAACAGTGAATTCACGACGCAACATACACCCACGTGCGATGTTCCCTGTTCCCTTGAAGCATCAGTCTTTCCGTCAATGTTCCGATTTAAGCTGAATCGGTACTAAGTCTCACCTGCTCCGTGAGCACTTTATGACTCGCTAAGAGATCTCGTTGTAGAAGGTACATCGCTCCTGCCGACGCCACCGCGAATCCCGCTAAGAACCCGCCGAGCCGCGCGCGGAACAGAGCCATTAGTACCTCGAATCAACAACTACACTGCGAGAGCGACTAGAAATCGTCTCTTCAGACTTTTGAAGTCTATATAGTATACAGGAAGAAGCCGCGAAAAGAAGGAGCAGTCAGCGTTGTGGCTGGTCAACAGAGTTGGATCAAGAGTGGGCCCCTTTGACCAAATCGGCTGAGCGGGAAACAGCAGCAGGGGTAGCTATCGGGACAGGAATCAATGACTGCGCTTCGGCTGCTGAGCTATGCAGGTTTCCTGCCACGCAGCACGCAGAGGGGCCTGAGCTGAGCCTGGAAGAGGCGATACAGAAAGATACAAGAGGAAGTAAGAGGGAGACGCGCAAGACGCGGGAGGTAAAATATCAGTAGGTGGTATCTATGGCTGCAGATCGGGATTCGGTTACCATTCTCTTCGCCCAAGCCAAAGTCGCTTCGCGAATTGCTGTGGGAATACGGGCTTCGCCAAACCGGCGATGGGATGGATGACTGAATTGTCAGATGTTACCATCACTTGTTACCACCACTTCGAGTTTCGGCTAAAAGCTGGTGTCGTTTTTCGTGAGACCATATTTCTCTTGTAGCGCTACACTTCTGTGGTGCTATCTAGCAGATTGTGAGTCAGTTCAAAGCGAATGCCGAAGCTTCTTTTTGTTTCTCCTGCTGCTGGTCGGTTGGGCTGCTGCTGCTGCTGCTGCTTTGGCTGCTCGTGCTGCTGAGTCAGCGTTATCCGTTTCGCAGCTGCTGCGATACTACGACTGCCTTTTAGGATCCAGCCTCGTCCCGTGACGATCCATTCAGAAGCGACAGCTCTTTGTACTAAATAATTCGCTCTTCTTGGATCGTCATTAGAATCCACAGGCGCTGATCCCTCGGCGTCGCTATGGCAGTCTGCACGTCACAGCTTGGTCTGATCAGCCAGCATTCCATCTTGACGGCTGCCGGCAGTTTAGACGGCCGTCAAGGCAATCTCCACGCAATTTCGACCCCTCACAGCCCGTCATTACTCGTCAGGAAGCCACGTGTCGTCTGCTCGTTGGGTCCTGAAATAGAAAAGTCCGGGTTTGGGTTTAACGCAGTGACACGCGGAAGAAGGCCGAGCACGGCTTGCAGAGCTGATAAAAAGGTAAGTATTGGTTAAAAAATGTTGTTCTAGGGTAATGTTGAGGTTTCCTAACTCAGGGACGGTAGGAAAAACCAACTCTGTTACTTAAATGTCACATCACGATCAGCCAGAAACTCTAAGCATTTTTTTTTTCATCATATGAATAAGCCAGCTTGTTTTTTAAGGACGTTGTGTTCAATAAAGTATGCGGTTCTCCTCTTTAAGCCCCCTCAACCCTCCGATCCTCCCTCCCCTTTCACCCCAACACCACTCGTCTTTCTCCCATCCGCAGGATGCGGCGAGAAAGGCGTTGGAAGACGCTCTTTCAGGCAAGAAAGACCTTTTGAACAAGTGGGATGCCGAGATCAAGAGGCGGGAAGAGGGCGGAGGGGGAGGGGAGGGTCGGGGGAGGGGCTGGGGGGGCGGCGGAGGAGGGGGGGGAGGGGACGGAGATGGTGTGAGCGGCGGGTGGGATGAGCGGTGGGAGGAGACGAAGCAGGTTCTGTTCGCAATTGGCGGCATTCTTGGCATTGTGAGTGAGATTTACATTGTCACTGCCTTTTCAGACGTGTTTTGAGAGCTCTCGAAATGTGTGGCGGGGGGGGAGGGATGAGCGGAGGGAGGAGGCGAAGCAGGTTCTGTTTGCAATCGGTTGCATCCTTGGCTTTCAGTTTTTGTAAAGGTCGTAACCATGGTGGCATCCTTGGCTTTCAGTTTCTATAAAGGTCGTAACCATGGTGGCATCCTTGGCTTTCAGTTTTTGTAAAGGTTGTAACCATGGTGGCATTCTTGGCATTGTGAGTGACTTTTGAGACTTCTCATAAGGTGTTGTGAGTGTGCTTGGTGGCGTTGTGATTGTGTTTGGGGGGTTGTGATTGTGCTTGGGGGGGTTGTGATTGTGTTTGGGGGGGTTATGATTGTGCTTGGGGGGTTTATGGAACCGCATACTACCCCCTGCTGCCCCTCCTCATCTCATGAACCTCTCTGCGTTTCAGGTTTTTTTTTTTCTTCTTCTTCTTCTTTCTTTTTTCTTTTCTCAAGAATGCTTCATCGGCTGTCTTTCTCTCTGCCTCCTTCGCCTTCGTCCCCTCCCTCCCCTCCCCTCCCATACCATCCCTCCCCTCCCCTCCCCTCCCCTCCCCTCCCCTCCCCTCCCCTCCCCTCCCCTCCCCTCCCCTCCCCTCCCCTCCCCTCCCCTCCCCTCCCCTCCCCTCCCCTCCCCTCCCCTCCCCTCCCCTCCCCTCCCCTCCCCTCCCCTCCCCTCCCCTCCCCTCCCCTCCCCTCCCCTCCTCTCCCCTTTCCCCTTTCCCCACCCCAACCCCCACAGTATCTGCTGTTCACACAAGGTCTTCGCATCGTGGCATTCCTAATCAACTGCATTCTCTTCGTGCTTCGGGGCTTTAAGGGGCCGCGCTCACAGCAGCAGGAGATCTACACCCCCCGTGCTGCCACCGCTGGTGCTGCTGCGGACGGTGGGGACGTGGGTGAAGCAGGGAAGAGGGAGGAGAGTGTGCGGCAGAAGTGGGGAGGGGATGAATGAGAGGAGTGAGGGAGTATTGGGGGGAGACAAGTGAGAGTAGTGTGATGCCACTGCTGGTGCTGCTGCGGGCGATGGGGACGTGGGTGATGCGGGGAAGAGAGAGGAGAGTGTGCGGCAGAAGTGGGGAGGCGACGAGTGAGAAGAGAGTAGGTGTTATTAATAACTCAGCACTTGCAGCAATCTTGGAGAACTGTATCAAACTCCCCAACAGTCTTGCAGAAAGTGTAGCAGACAGTGGCAGCAGCCACAAGCAGCCGTTACCCAGCAATGGCAAAATTGCAATGCTGGATTTTATGCTTGACTAAGTCTGTTATACGTAATCGTGATGCAGGTTGGGCGAGGGAAGGTTCTTCGCAAGGTGTTTTGACTGATTTGAAGAACCTTGCTAAGGGAAGTTGATGGTTGAAAGTGAATGCTAGCAAGCTGGTAGACCCAGTAGGCAAGATAGAGAACCCTTTTTTTTTATTGCTGAATATATCATTTTACTGTATTGCATGCGCTGCTGATACAGTGCAACCCTCTCAGTCCTCTTTTGTTACTGAATTTTTCCAATTGGTCCCACCCACTGTTCTGTTCCGTTTACGCAGGAGCATGAGCTGTCTTGCCGGAAAAGCCGTTTCAACGGACTTCGTGGCAATCTGAGATTGGTTCTCGTGTTGTGCTTCCCAGATATCGAACCAATCAAGGGGTTTCATTCACACGCCTAGGTGACGGATTAGCAGTCCCCAAGGTCATCATTGATGCCGAGCTGGCCTTGCAACATTGGTTACAGTATGACCCACCTTCACACTGAAGTCCAACTGTACACCTTCGATTCGTCGTCACGTGGGCCCCAGGTCGATTCTCCCTGTCTTGCTCGTTGAAGCAAGAGGGTTGACACGAAACACACCCAACCCATGGGTACCTTCCACCACCTAGCACAACCACCAACAACGTCACTATCGCTCACTGCCGCACAAAGAACCCCACAACACCATTTTCCAGCTCCCACCCCAATTCAACCCAACCAACCAATTCGCTTGAGAGCCGTCGTCAAACCCCGTCCTTCCAGTTGGTTTTCGGGCGTGTAGAAGCCAGCTGGGTTTTTCGGGCTGGATGGAGGAATGAAAACACCCGCTCCAATTGAATTCCCACATTGATGTATGCGTTGACTGTGGTGGGATGCCATGCAAAGTTATGCGAAGTTTGCCCGAACCAAAATACAGCACAGAACATTACAATAGTGCACTACACATTGGCCAGTAGTACAGTATTCTACACGATGGCTAGGCAAATTTGCCGTTTTAATTGGGCAGTTTTAGGCGGGGAATCGCAGAGCCTGTTGCTCACTGCCTTTTTGCTGCCTCCCCTAGTTCCAGCCAGTCTGTCTTTGCCACTATTCAAGCACCTAGACTAACGACACTAGGTAGCATCTAGGCCAATGGCCCTTAGATGCGCTAGGCTAGTCCCCTTGTTCAATCATTTTTCCACATCGCCACCTTTTGAGCTTCTACGCTGGAGTCCTAAAACAGCTTTTTCTCCCACTGAGGTTATGATGAGTGCGTCTTGCTCACACTCAGCCGAGGACGATTTTGCATCGTTCGTCCTGTTAGTCCCAAAGATTCTGCTTGTGCGGCTCGTTTTCCGCAATGGCTATCGCATCGAGTCAGGTCCTAACTTGTCCATTTTCGAAACGACGATTCGGCCAGACAGACTGTCTCCTCTCCGCTGTTTCGCGGCGCCCGAGGATACCGAGGGAGGGGAGTGAGAGAATCCTTGCGTTTCCTCTGGCATTCCGCGTTGTCTAGCATCCTCGCGTTTCACGCCGAAGCGACGCGACGTATGTACAAAGGGAAACACAGAACCAGCCATTTGTGCATCTTGTTCAGAAGCTCCTACCAGCTCCGAACACTTGACACGCGCGGTTTGAGACTCGCTTCGCCACAGACCCACTTTGAGAACTCTTCTTTCTTGCGTGGTTCCTCACCTGGAGGTTACCATTTACCTGACCGAATTCGTCGAAGCAAGTCTGTTGCTCTTCACGACCCGGAAGAAACGTCTCTCGGAATACGAGATTTGAGGAGCCTCAACACTCTTTTCTACGACTCGGAAAAAACGTCTCTCGGATTACTACCGAGTCATTTCTACCAGCACAGCAATCCACACCACCACCACCACCGGGCATTGGATCCGCACGACTTGCTGCGGTTCGAATCCTTGCGATCGTCAGAGATCGATTTGCGCTTAAAGGGTCCACGTCACGTTGCCGTGGTAACTTTAACTTGCCTCGCCTTCACGAGCACTCCTTCCGAAGCTTTTTTTTCCCGAACAGCTGACCAGAATGCTCACAGTCGCGTCGTCATCTGGCCGCTACACTTCGTGCTGCTCGTCGTCCCAACCTGCTGTCCAGATCGACAGCCCAGATCCGTCGGAAGGACTGGCGTTGACGGTCGTGATGGCGCGTTTCGCCGGCGATTCGGACATGCGACCTTTCCTGTCAACGGATGGAGATGCGGCGCCAACAGCTGTGAGCGACGCAGTCAGCGACGCCATCAACGACGCAGTGAGCGACGCAGTCAGCGATGCAGTGAGCGACGCTGGCGAGGAAACGTTTCTCTTCCCCACGCCTCCGCGCAGCCCGCGCGAAGTCTCCTGCGCGGCGCTCGAGTTCCGCCACCGCCGCCGCCGGCACTCGTTCAGCGGATTTCAAGCGCTTCCCGCGGGGTGCGGAGTCTGTGCCGCTCCGGAGTCCCTGGATGGTGCTACTAACGGGGATATTGCCTATCCTGGTGCTACTAACGGGGATATTACTTATCATGGTGCTAATAACGGGATAATTTCTTATCCCGGTGGTGAAGATAACACACGCGGTGCAGAAAAACGTTGTGACCTACCACGCCTGCCCCGCCCGTCTGCAGCGCAATATTCTGCACCTCCCGCTGCTGCCGCCGCCATTGCTGCAGCTGCCGACTCTGCTACCGCTGCTGCCACGTCACCGCTTCCTGCTGACGCACGTGGGCGTCAGGAACAGATCTACGGCCCTAAATCCAACGCCATGTGGCCGCGAAGTCAGAGCCACTCCGCAGTCATAGGGCAACGAGATCGGACTGACGGCTCTGATACCTTTGGGGGACGGCGCCTGGGCCGGCACCGGCGCATACGGTCAGTGGAAGCAGTGATGGAGACATCTGGAGTGGCAGGGCAGGCCACAACACCAGTGCCCCCCTTTTCGCCCTTCCCACGAGTCTACATGGCTGTACAGTCACCACACGGGTTAAGAAGAAAATCCTCATTGGGAAAGCAGTCACAGTCGCAGTCTCCCCATGTGGCAGCGGCATGCTCTCTGAAGGCTCCACGCACCGGCCCTGCCTCCTCTGCCTCCTTATCGCCAACATCACCCCTCTCTCCTCCTCCCTTGTCTTCTCCTCCTCTGTCACCCCCACCACAGTCCGTGCTGTCGCCCTCGCAGCCCGTCTCTCTGCCGCCACCTTCAAAACCTACCCCTCGACTGTCACGGTCCAAACCTGTCACGCGCCTCCCAGCTTCGGGCCGCTCTTCTTCGCCAGACTCCTATGCAAAGTTGAAGTGCAATGCTACTTCCTGCACCCTGCCCACCAAGGCAACAGTACGAGGAGCAGCAGCAGTGGCCGCATGCAGAAATGGGGAGCAGGCCGCAGGTAGCAGTAGGATTACAAGAAGCGCCAATGGCAATGGCGAGAGCGTGGCACCAGGATCACCAAGTCAGAAGGTCTCAATTTCTGGTTGCAACACCTGCAATGCAAGCAGGTCCTCGCCGCAGCTGCCCAAGTACGAACGGCGTGTGTGTTTTAATAACACGGTGAAAGTGCGGACCTTCTTTGATAGCATGTAGCTGCTCAGCAGAGCTATTTTTCAATACTTTGATTTTCGGAGTCGTTTGTTGCATTGCCTGACTCTATCATATCTGTAGGTTCGGTTTAGTGTAAATTCCTCTATTCCTCTCAGATCTTGCCTATTGAGTCGTCATTCTTTAAGAGTACTCTCACTGTAGCGACATGCGAATTTGTGCTCCTGAGCAACTATTCTCTCGAAGACCAGGCTACACTCTCGCGGACCAGGTGACTTCGACAGCCCTGGACATGATTTTCGTGTCTGGGATTGCCGATGTTTTGTTGACGGAACTTGACAGTGAGGCTGAACACTAGGAACGCATACATGCCACTCTAACCGATGGGTACCCACCATCACCTACCATTACACCGCCTCGGCGCTGACTGTGGTGGTGGTGAAGTGACATGCACAGTTTGCCAAAGAACGGTACACTACGGCCCTGTTCGATAGCAGGGTGACCACATCTGTAAAATTTCTCCCACGGTGGGAGAAAATGGGCGGGAAATGGTCTGCGACTCCATGCGACTGTTGCGACCCCCATGCGACCAGGTTAATTTCCCGCCCGCGCGAACGAAACCGCGGCGATGGCTCGGGTTTCCCGCCCTCGCGCCAAAACAAGGCTAGAAGTCTAACAACCACCAACATCCCCAAAGCGCACCCTAAAGTGACTGCCGGCGTAATCATTACATCGACCAAACAGCTCCTCTCGGGCAAAACGACCCCCCCGCTCGACACCAATGCCATTTCTACTTTCAGGAGAAGTCACAACCATTCCACACGGAGGGGCTATTTGGGGATAGTCTAAACGAAAGGTTTCCCCAGGTTAAGCTGCCCAAATTAAGGGTATGAAAAACTAACCGAAACATACGGTGAAATCAGGGTTTGCTTCTTGAGTCCTCAAGTTGAGCGTGAGGTTCGTGTCACCCATTCCTTTTTTTTCCCTTTTGGACTCGATCTGGGTTTTTTGTTTGGGCAGACCAAACATCACCGTGGGGAAACCTTCGCCTCGCTCACTGGCCACTGTTTCCACTTCAAACGACCGTTGAGCCTGTGGTGTGACACACCTTGGCCGTTGGGCGAGGTGATCGAAGCCGGCAGGCAGTCGGCTTTAATCATTACCCTGCCGGCGGTGCCGAACGCTTAACCTTTTG